GTCAAGTATTTGATGGTTCTGTGCGATGACGAAGACATGGATACCGTGAAAGCAGCCTCCGGTGCCTTAGCTATGCTGACGGGTATTAGCAAAAAGTCGTGCCAAAAGGTGTTCGACGCCAAGTGTTGGCTCGAAAACCTGATTCAATTGGTGTCCAGTAAGGACTCGGATCTCCAGCACAGAGGCCTTTGCATTGTCCACAATCTGATTGACTGCGGCAATGATTGCGCCGAGAAAGTGGTCGAAACACAAATTCTAGAAATTCTTGTAGCCATCACTCGGCCAGAAGTGGACGACATCGACCACAAGATCAAAGACATCGCTAGAAGTGCTCTAAAAAGAGCTGAAGAGCAAAAACTCATTAAAAACATTGAGAATTTAAACACCGAGTGAACCATTGGATAAACTATTTGCAATGTTTGACATAAACACAGCCAAAACTTATTTATTTCTTATATTTAATCTTCTATTTAACTCATTATTTAACAGTATTGCCCCCTTTTTAATGTATTTGATATAATAATTATTATTATCGTTGTTTAAAATGCAATCGACATTTTAAGTAATTTTTAGAGCTGTTTGTTATCATGTATTTAATATAAAGTTATAATAAAGATACTGTATGTATGAAACATGGGTTTTCATGTTATCATACGGTATGAATAATAATTAGTTATAATTCACTTTAATTATGGTATAAATGAATGAGTTATCAATTAAAATGCGATTAAAATGACGTTTTGGTTAAATAACAAAGTGATTGCTTTGAATGAGTGGATGAGTTGTTGGCTTATTTTTTTTACTTTTGTGGTTATATTAACTCAAATAGATATTGAAATAAGGAATAAATAAGAGAGTATAGGAAGGAATGAGCGCTTGTATAGGAAGCTTGTATAATATGTATAATATACGGTCATATTATTAATAAAGTATTCATATTATAGGATGTGATGAAGAATAGTAGCGGAGCCAAACTGACTGCCTTCCGGGCATTTCCACAAATTTATTAAACAATTTACATTCAGTAATCATATCTTAAATTTGATAAACTTGATAAATTTTTGTTGAATTATTCGCGTTCTTGTATTCGTGTATTTCTTCATTGGATGAAAAATTATGTGAAATATTTATTTAATAAATATTAATTTACAAAATTTAAAATTTAGTATAAACTGGACATAACTGAAAATCATTGACAAATTTAGCGAACAGAATATTAACGACAAATATTTTTATCAATCATAGTTTAACTAATTTATCTGATTATCAATAGTATTGATTCAATACGGTATTGACAATACAGGGTATGATTGACAGCAATATTTCATTTTTAACAAATTATATGATAAACAATTGGGTTTAGAAAACAAATATTTAAATCAAAACCGGATATATGCCCTGATAACTTATTCCGACTTGGTCATTTTTAAAAACAAAATATAGATTCTAATCACAATTGAAAGTTTTCTTAAGATTAAAATAACCCTAAAATTGAAACATATTTATTGATATTATTCTATAAATAACTTTAAGGTCAAAAACTGATGATAGCAATGAAGTGGTCAAACATTTTTCAAACCGTTTGAATCCTATAAAAAGAAAATCTTGTAATGAAATTGATATTATTTGAGAGAAAGCGTTAAAATGAGTTTCAAACTTGTGGTCGTTTTAATCGGTAAGAATTTTGAAAACTTGTTAATAGCTTTGACTTTTATGATTACTTTGATTAGTTGTCTTGGCTTCTGATGCCATCAGTGGTACTCATCACAGCAAACATGGAGTTCACACCACATTCACTGCATCCCAGGTCTCGCAGATTCCCCAACACTTGATTTTCAATGGGTTCGGAGGGAATCCGTTTCCGCAAACTTTTCAAACTTTTAGCGCCGGATCGCCAGTCGTTGCAAACGAGGCCTCATTTCCTCAGACTATTCCTCAACATCTGTTGTCAGTTTGGAGAACTCCAGCATACGTTCAAACAATTCCCAATCATTTGATCAGTTTGACACAACCGGCCCCTGCGGTCACATTCACTCAACCGCAACCTTTGACCCAACATTTCGTCCAGAGAGTAGAGCAGCCATTAGTCCAACCTTTTACCCAACGAGTTGAGCAGCCATTGGCTCAACCAATGGTGGAACAACCACTGACACCGACCTTTGCTCAACCATTGCCAGCATTTCCGCGGAATACAGTCTTTGTATCTCCCGCTCAAAAAGGAAGGACACAAGCAGTAGTGCCGACACCAGTCGTACAACCGTTGCCTATAGTTTCGCAACCAATCCCTGAACCCATTGCCGTCTCCGTTGTCTCTCACAAAGAATCTCCGATAACTTCGACCTCATTTACCGGAACACAGCCTCTGACCACTAATACACAAACTTTGACTAACACTGCCTTTCAAACGCCTACAAAACCATTGAATTTTGCCCCCCATTTACCCGAAGTACAAAAAGATAATCAACAACTTTTTAATCAAACTGATGATACATTTAAAGCATCGCCGACTCCCATCAACTTTCAGCAAACTTTCCAAACATCAGACAATTCACAGACATTCACAGACACCACATCCACACGACATGTGGAGCCAAACACTCAAACTTTCAGCCAAACATTTACTCAACCAATCGCTCAAACACTGTCTCAATCGGTGTTCACCACAACTCAAGTGAAGCCCTTCACTCAAGAGGTACTGCCGACACCAATGCACACCACTTTCAATACTAATCCTTAGGGGTTTTAAACTAATACTGTATTAATAATATAATACTTGTATTACTTCTGAATTTCTATACATTTCAATATTTTTTTAATGAATCAATAATTGAATAAAAGATTTGAATTATATTTTTAATGAATCGCAAAATGAATTGCATTTTATGATGAGTTTATGAAGACATGAATGAATGAATGAATTAAAACAAAACGACTAGTAATTCATTGAAAATATCAATCGGTTAATGCTATGAGCGCTTCGACAACACTTCCGGCGCACTCCCGGAGCTTGAGTTCGGCCGTCGATCGCGGGATTTCCATCTCTTTCATCTGAAACACAGATTATAATGCATTCAAAATAATTGTCCGCAAAACACAACCCATCACTTCATTCTCACAATGAGTTCGACGTCTTCTTTATTGATGACAACTTTCGCCAATTCCCTCATTCGGGCCACTCTTTCGGCCGTCTCTTTCGATCGTTTGTCGCCAAACAAAGACATCGCCTGAAGAGTAAGCAAACAAATCAATCAATTAATGACAACAACTCGAGGCCGTGGGCTGTGAGCCGAAGACGCATACATTTTCGATGTCTTGGGACGATATCTCGCGTTCCTCCTCGAAGTCGGTCACCTTTTCGAGATCAGCCGCTCCCGAGTCGTGTTTCGCCACTTTCTTCGCGATCGGACGGTCCGTCACTTCCGACTCCTGGTCTCCGCTCTCTTCCACTCCATTCACTC